AGCACGTCCGCAGATGTCCAGATTTCTGCCCTCTGATGGGTGTCGCAGGCGTCCCCGCAAAGTCTTTGTGTTTAGTCTATTTCAATTAGGCGACTTTGCCTGCGCCTGGAGCTCTAAGACCTCGGCTAGGAGCGGGAGAAGCGGATGGCTGGAGTTCACGTAGCAAATGGGGCAGAGCCAGGGCTGGAGCTGACCCGACCCTGGCCCGCCCTGTCCCAGGAGGCCAGGAAGGTCATGCGTCTGTATCTGATCGCAAGGATGAGCATCCAGTCCTCTAATTAGGACTTTGCAGGACCCTTTCCCCTCCTCCCTGAGGCAACTTGCACTCAAGCTCCTTCGTCATCGGGATACCGAGGGGCTTTAGAGCTGAAGGGATCTATGGGTCTTGGGGTGCAAGCACCAGGCGAATGGGGGAGATGGACGCAGCCGCTGAGTGGTTTGGAGCCAAGGTCAAGGGCACAGGTTCTAGAGCAACTTTGGCGCGGCAACGCTATTAGCAGTGTGGTCCTGAGCTGGTTGATTCATTTCAATCATAGGGTGTCAACTTCCTCACCTGTAAAACGGGAGCGATCTTACCTGCCTTCTTGGTCTGTTGTGGGAATTCAGTGAGATTTTACCCGTAAAGCCTTCGACAAATGAGATCTATTATTATCTGGGGACCGCCCAGGGGAAACCCGAGAGAGTCGTCAGGCTCGCTCCGGGAAAGGCTTGTTCGAACCCCGTGCCCCAAGCCCTCGTCCTAGGCAGATGAGGTGCTCCCAAGCCCCAGCCAGATCCCCACGGTGTTGTATGCCTGCTCTCTATCTCATAGCTGTCGGCGGGTATCCTTGTCACTTCCTGGGCCTCGGCTTCCCTGTCTGTACCACGGGGAGAGGTGCGCTCCCAGGGGGAACTTCTCTGCAACGCTGGGGATCTAAAACTGGGTTGGATCAGGTGTGGAAAATGCTTTGCCACTTGCCAGACATGGCTGAGCGCAAAGAGGAAGAACACAGATTTCCGGAGCCTTTTCCTGCTGCTCCTACGTGTTCCCCGAAGGCAGCGGGTAGAGAGGTCTTGGAGCGGCAGGGGCAGGGTTTTGCCCGCGGGCCACACAGGATCCTGTTGCTTCCCCATCCCTCCCGCGTCCGGGCGCCGCTCAGGGGCCCCTGTGGAGCTGCGCCGCAGTCAAGTCCGCTCTTTTCCAAGGCTTCCTGACGCCCCCGACTCCTATCCGTCCCCCTCTACGGGCAGCGCCTTGGCCTTTGCCCAGCTCCGGCCACGCCTCCAGGCTGCCAGTCGGCACCTTCGGAGCGGGCAGCGTGCAGAGGGACTTCGCACCCTTGTTCTTCATCGCTTCCACCTTTCCCTTTGCGTCCTCCTCAGCATGGAAGGAGGCGTTTCTGGCTCCTCGGCCGCCTCTGGCTGGCGGCAAAAGGAAGAGGACATTTCCTGGGATAAGCGGCCCCTTCATAAGGGAAACGGAGATGGAGGGAATTCTCTGAGCAAGAGCTCTCGAGTCTGGCCTCCTGGGGGCAGACGAGCAGAGAAGATCCCTCTTTCCCCGGGATGTCCGCCAGCCCTAGTGCGGCTGTATTTACATCGCCTCTGCTCTTTTGCAGGAAGGGTGTGTTTCCACCTGCACCCACCCCCGTTAAGTTTCCGCATGGACTGATGCCCTTCAGAAAAGGGAATTGATTTCCTTGTGCCTTAAGAAGGTTGGGACAGCCAGGAGTGAGAAGGTTTCAAAGTTTCGAGTGGAGGGTGGTAGTGGCTTGTTTCCTGGGCCTGAGCTACCTCCAGCCAGGGAGCCCTGAGGGATGGGCAGCCCTCTACTGTTTGCAGCAATAGAGAGGGAAGGGTTGAGGGAGGTTCACTTCCACCACGGAAGAAACTGAGCAGCTCATCTGGAGACTTAGCTCCAGGGGGAAATAAGCCTTTCCAATTGCTCCTTCCACATATAAACCCATTTTGCTGTATACTTTTCTTATGCACAGCCCCCGCCCTTCTTCCTCCCTAATTCTGCAGGTCTGGACAAGACCTGAACATCTGCAGATCTATCCCACCCTCCCATATGATTAGGCTGATGAGTGGGGTTGGGGATTACTGTTATAAACTACCCTAGGGTCATATCATATATATAGCAGCCTGGACAAGGCTAGCTGTCCAGTATTTCTCTTCCCTGGGGATGTGACTATACTGTAAAAACGATGAAACCAGTGTCAGCACATACTTTCTAGCGCCTCCCCCCCACACCCCGCCTGGCACGCTGTGCCTTCTGGAGGTGGTTCTAACCTTACATCAGGGATTGAAAAGTGTTGAAGGGATTTTTCCAAGTTTAAAATTGGAGTCACAAGTCCTCCCTATTCACTAGAGGAAATTCACCAAAAGCTAGGGCTCTGCCGGCCTGATGTCATCCCTCTGTCTCTTTTCTACCTTCTCTTTAGTTTCCTTCTTACTTAAACATTTATTACTGGGCAAGGAAACCAGGTTGAAAGCACAAGGACACCAGAAGAAATGCTATGGATACACTCTGCTTGATTAAAATAAAGTACATTTGCCATCCCAGGTGAGGTATCCGCTGCCCCCACACAGCCAAAGGGCATTTAGTCTTAGCAACAGATGCTTGCCCCCTTTTATTTTCCCTCCTTCTGTGGCCTGGCAGGTGTGGAGACTGCTCCCTCTTATTTAGTTCTTGGAGATGGCTGGCTCTGGGGTAGGAATGGAGCTGCTGAAAGCTTCTTTCTCTGGACCAATTTCTCTTTCGCATCAGGCAGCTTTAGGCCCCTCAACAAATACATCATTTGCAGAGGGCTACTATATGCTCCTTGACCCCTTCTCCCCCAGAAATCCATCTGTGGTGCCTCACACTGATCCTGGTCCTCAGAGTGGCTGGATCTCTCCTTTCTCTAGCACCCTCGCCACCTCCCTTTGACAGTGATCTTGTCTCCCATTGTGTATTCCCTGTCACTGGGGTATGTACCTCAGCAGCCTTGCTTGGAGTCCTGAATACTATGTACTGCAGAGTGAAATAGAGGCTCAAGCAGTTAAGGAGAGGGAGGCCTGGGTCTTATGCCAGGGCTACCTGGGACTCAGTGATAGGATGGTGGCCTCTGCTTCCTGGTCCCCTTCCCTTGAAGGATCCCCTCCGAGCATGCAGGGGAAGAGATCGGCTCTCTGGGGGCCTTTGGGCCTTGAGGTTAGGCTTCTTGCTTTGGGAAGTTTTCAGCAGGCCCAGTTTCAATTGTGCATTTAAATTCTGTAGAGATGGAGAAAGTCCAACTTCCTCTTTCTCCTCCCCACAAAGCTATAATCCTTCAATTCTGTGCACTGACATATCCCTCTTGAGCACCTACTGTGTGCCAGGAACTCTGGTAGATGCTGTGGGAATCCTGATGGATCAGACAGATCTCTTCAGGAGTGTCTTGGAAGAGATGGCATTGGTTATGGTACCACAGAGAGAAAGTGATTAGCATGTCAGTGGTTCAGATTAAATGATATGAGAGCTGGGAGGCTTTGTGAGGAAGAGAGAAAACAGTGTTTGGGGACAGTGGCCATGTACCCACAGGCCTGGAACATCATCTAGTTTGGGAATCAGGAAGTGGCTCCCACTTTGCTGCTCTGCCAAGAGTACAAAGCATAACTCTTGCCTGTCTCCATTCCATTCAACATGGGCATGTGTACTTTTCCATCAGTGACCCTATGAGCTTCCTAAATCAAAGGGCCAAGCAAGGCCAGCAGAAAGGGGACCTGGATTTCTGGCAAAGAATTTCCCCGAAGGAGTCCTTAGCAGATTTGGCTGCAGTCAGGGAGTTCCTTTGAGGGCAATGAAACAGAAGTTCACCGTGTGCTTATTAGAGGTTACAACCTGCTAAAAAATGATGGGGCACATTACCTAGAAACATCTAGCTATTTCCTTTGCCAGCCACAAGCATATATGCCAAAGGTCTGAGGAAGGAGACCATTTCTTCCTCCCTTCTTTCTTCCTTCTTTCCTCGATCTCTCTTGACACACAGCAGGGCTTAAGTTGGGGAGGGTTTCTTCAAGAATCACCCCCACCCCCAATTTTAACAAAAAGAATGAGGATGACAGAAACCCTACACCAAATAAACAACTCATCAAAATTGTTGTTGCTGCTTTGGTATTTACTCTAAGGAAAACTTCTTTGGGGGCGGGGGTGAAAGGCTGGGGATCGAATCTGTCAATTTTAAAACGCATCCTGACACGGCTCCAGGGAGGACATTCGTTCCACCATTTACGTATCTGCGGATTACTCGAGAGAAGTGAGCATTTGAGGACAGTGCCTCTAACGCCTGCGGCCTCAAGGCTAGCGTCCAAGTGAGAGCGCTTCAGAGGCCAGACTAGGGGCAGAGCCCGGTTCCCCACATCCCTCCCAGCGTGAAGGCAGTGCCCTCCGCGCGCCCCTAGCCCCGACCTCCAGCATCCATTTTCCACCCCACCACCCCCTCCTCAAAGCGAAGAGGCGGGCACCTGGGACGCGCATCCTGCTTTTTCTGCCCGGGATCTCCCGTCTCCTCCACTTTTGCCCCCGACGTCCCAGAACAGCGGAGCAGGACGTGTCATCGGCCCTGGGAAGGGGTAGCCTGTGCGCCTGGAGCCGCTCAGGGCGCGGCGCGGATGCTAAACAGACCGCAACGGCCAGGATGCGGACCCCAGCTCAAATCCTTAAGAAGAGTATCTCCCTCCCTTTCCTTCTGTTCCCCTTCTCCAGCCCGGCTCTGCCCTGCTCAGCCCCGCTGCTCCCCAGCTCAACGCAGGAGCTCAGCGATCCTTTGCTCGGCACTTTACGAGGAACTTTGGCCGGCTCCCCGGAGCCGCCGGGAGAGGGATGTTAATGAGGGAGCGTGGCCCCGCTCAGCGAGCCGGCAGGCTCCTGAGCTGCGATTGGCTGCGGCCAGGCGGAAGAATGACGTTATGCAAATGAAGGGGCGGGCCTGTGAGGAGCGGGTCCCGCCTCCTCCCTTTGGGGTTAGTGTGCCTGTGTTTAGCTCTGGGGAGAGTCAAACTGGATTCCATAGGGAAAGCCTGCAAATCACTTCTATTTTAGCAAGGAGAAAACAGAATTTCCATCCAGCAGGGTCCACCCCTCTCTTTCTCCCTCTCCTCTCCTTCTCTCTTTCTCTCTCTCTCCCTCCCCCCCTTCCTCTCTCCCTTTCTCTCCCCCCTTCCCCCCACCCCAATCTCCCTCTCTGGTGTATCTGTCTACGGCAACCAGCGTCCTCCTCATCTACACGCACTGAAGGAAAGAAACATCTTTGGTTGGGAGAGAAGGAGGAAAAAAAAGAGAGGAAAAAAACTTGCCTGGTTGTGGAAAATGACACTTGAAGTAGCAAAGCCGGCAGCGCGAGTTGAGTCTATTGTTTCTTAAATTGCCATCAGGGCTTTTTTTTTTTTCTTCCTGCTTCTTCAAGTGAAGGGTACCTCTGCAAAAGGAAACTCCAGCCCCTCCTGCCCTCCACCGGCCTGTGATCATTACAAAAAAAAAAAAAAAAAAAAAAAAGCAAAAAAAAAAAAGCAAAAAAAAAAAGCACCCAAACCAAAAATTAACCAACCAAACAACCCCCAACAGCCAAGCATACATCTCATTTTTTTTTATTTTGGTCTTTTCGTTGGATTTTCCCTTCTTTTTTTCTCTCTTTTTTTCGGGTTATCGCTCAGTTTTGAGCGACGGTTTACATTTTTTAAAAAATTTGCTTTCTAGCCCGCCTTGATCTAGCGCGAGTTCATCGTCTCGGGAAAAAAAAAAAATCTCTGGCTGGCGTTTTTCTTTCCCTTTTTTTTTTTTTTTTTAAATATTTTCAAGGGGGAGGAGATTTTCCACAAGAAAAGGTTGTTTTCATGTTTGGGATTCAGGAAAGCATCCAACGGAGTGGAAGCAGCATGAAGGAAGAGCCGCTGGGCAGCGGCATGAACGCGGTGCGGACGTGGATGCAGGGCGCCGGGGTGCTGGACGCCAACACGGCGGCGCAGAGGTGGGTACCGCTCGGGGACCGCGGCCGGGGAGGCGAGTCGCGAGCAGAGGAGCCGGGAGGCAGCGGCGGCGGCGAGCGCCGCGGGGCCTGGCCGCGCTCATCCGTCCGCCACTCCGCTCTGTTCGCCTGCGGGGCTCCGCGCTCGGCGGCCGCGCTGCCACAGTCGCCTGCGGCCGGAGGGCCGGGAGCTCCGTGCGAGGAGCCCACGCTTTGCCGGCACTTTCCCCTGCCTGGTCTGTTACTGTTTTCATTTTGTTTTAAGCCAGAAGAGGCGAGAGGCGTCTCACGAGCATGATGTTAGATAACTGTTTTTATGACTGCTCTTTCTTTTCTGGCCGGCTTTCCCCCTTCCTTCCTTCCTTCTTCTTGTCTTTATTCTTTTCTTTATTCTTTTCTTTTTTTCTTCCCTTCTTTCCCTCCTGCCTTTCCTTTCTTTCTCCTTCCTTTCTTTCCTTCGTTCTTCCTTTCCTTCCTCCTCCTTTTTTCTTCCTTCCCTTCCTATAAAACTTTCTCTTCTTCACTCCTTTCCTCCCTTCCCCTTTCTCTTCCTTTCCTTCCTTCCTTCTTTTCTTTCTTCCTCCTTCTTTCATTTCCTTTTTTCCCTTCGCTCCTTCCCTCCCTTCCTCCCTTTCTTCATTCTTTCCTCCCTCCGTTCTTTACCCCATTTTTCTCTTCTTTTCTCCCTCCATTTCACCCCAGGATCTTCTCTTATTTCTCCTATCCGGTTCTCCCTCCCTCTCTTAGCTCTCAGGTTTTCCTCAGTCCACCCCGGAGATCAGCAACTCCCAACTTTAATTCTGACATCTCCTAAAAGTCTTCCCCATCCTCTGTCTCCACGGTCCCCTTGGAGCCCCTCTTCCACTGTCAGCTTCTGGGATGCTAGACTGTATCGCCTGGAGGCACTGCCCTTGGAGATTGACCGGAGGGGAACTTTCCGGGACACCCTCACCACTTTTTCTGGGGACTCCAGGTCCCAAGTGAGAAATGGCCTCTCCTGCCCCCCCACAACGCAAACACCCAGGCCACCAGCTGGGCTTGGGGGAGTGGGAGATCTGGCGGCCCCAGGCCTTATCGGCTCAGAGAGGGCGGAAAGGGAAGAAGGAAGATGACTAATTACATCATCCTCGTTTTCTCTGGGCTGCGGACAAGTGTCCCTAACACTGTTTCCATCCCCACGGAGTATAAAGATGGGGGTGGTAGGTAGTGAGAGTGAGTTGGGCAACTGGGCTTGAAGTGAAAGTGTGTGTGTGTATGTGTGTGACACGTGTGTGTGAGACTGCGAGAGCCTGTGTTGGGCAGGTCTGGCTGTCAGTGGCCGCCGCCCTGTGCCCCTGGCGGCCCAGCCTCTAGCCCCGGGTGGGAGCGCTCAGCCCGCAGCCTTGGTCCTTACGATTTCGGAATGAGTGTGACGATTTCTGCGGAACAGCGAAAGTTTGTCAGGACAGGTCTTAACAACAACAACAACAACAACAACAACAACAACAAAACCCAAAACGCCTCAGTTCCCTTCCCCACAGCGACCACCCCTGACAGCTCCGAGTTCCACCCTTAGATCCCTTTTCTCCACATGCTTTGGGGTGGGGGGTGGTGGAGACTGTGGCTTCCCGAGGCCGGGTACCCGCGGCTGGCAGGGGCGCGTGAGGTTTCCCGGAGGACGGTTGCAGCAGTGAGAAGCTGAGCATGTTCCCCATCTCTTCTCACCAGCCCACGGAGCTGAGACGGAAGATTCAAGAGGGTAGCGGGTACCAGTTCCCATGCCCCCTCCCGCTAAGTTGTCAATGAACCGCTTTATTCCGCGAACGCGGGTTCACCTCCTCCAGGGCCACTCTTCTTTCTCCCCACGTAGCGCGCGTCAGGTCGGAGTAAATGCTTATAGCATTTTACCTCCTGCGCAAAACCCAAACAGAACTTTAGCAGCGCTTCTGCGAGTTCGGGGGGCGCGCCCTGTGCTCCGCGTGGAAGACAGGACACGCGAGAACACGCAAATCCCGTCGTCGGCTGGGCCCGGGGCGCCTGAGCCGGCATGGAGGGCGCCCACTGGGCTGGGGGCAGGGGGCGGGTAGGAGAGACGCGTGTGTACGGGGTGACGAGGGGTCGCGGGTCCGTGTCCCGCTAAGCCGTCTAACTCTAAGTCTTTGGCCGCAGCGGGGTGGGTCTGGCCCGGGCTCACTTTGAGAAGCAACCGCCTTCCAACCTGAGGAAATCCAACTTCTTCCACTTCGTCCTGGCCCTCTACGACAGACAGGGCCAGCCCGTGGAGATCGAGAGGACAGCCTTTGTGGGGTTCGTGGAGAAGGAAAAAGTAAGTGGGCACAGCCCTACTGCCCCTCGCCCCCGGCAGGGGAGCAGGCCCAGGCGCTTCGGGAGGCGCGCTTCTCCGCCAGTGCAAAGCATCCATAACACACTCCTGCGCAGGGTCCCCCCAGCCACTTCCCGTCCTGGGCGAACCCCGGCTCCTGGTCCATGAGGTTCTGCTCCAAAAAAGTTTGTGCCCCCAGAGCTGGAGAGAGTCGAGCTGGGCTCCACACTTCAGAGTCCAGGGCGCCCAGGATGAACCCGCCCTCGACCGCGCGACCAAGCGCGGCTCCTGCCTCTGCTGGCCCAGGCTCGAGCCCCCAGGGGATGGGGATCGCCTGTGTGCGCCCCACGGAATTGTCTGGAAGGGAAGAGGGAGCAGCAAGGGTCGGGTTTGGGGGGCGGCAGAGGGATCACACTTGGCCGCAATTTCTGCTGCTCTCGGGCCTGCGTGGCTGCCCGGCTAGGGGCCCAGATGGGAAAGTTGCCTCGAAGTCGGTCCACGAGCTCACGCCGACCTCTCTCCTGCGTCTCTTGTGTCTTTGCGTCCTGATGCAACCCAGGAAGCCAACAGCGAAAAGACCAATAACGGGATTCACTACCGGCTGCAGCTCCTCTACAGCAATGGTGAGGCTCCCGTCGGTCCGCGCCAGCACCCCGGGGCTCCGAGTGAGGGCAGGGGGCGCGGGGAGCGCCAGGCGGGCGAGAGCCCCAGCAAAACTCAGTCGTTGCCCACCATCCTCGGGGGATACCGGCCTCGCCTGGGTTTCGCCTGAGGCGGTTTCACCTGAGGAGCTCTTGAGTGGCCCGTGGACGGCCGTGCTGGGCCTGTGCTTACCTGGGGCCAGGTGTGGTTCATCTACCCTTGTTGGGCCGCTTCCCCCCTCCCCTTTTTAAGGCCAACTCCCTTCGCTTAGCCCAGTCTCCAGGCCTAAGGCCTCTTGGGCTTACGGGGCTAGAGAGAGCTTGCCCTTGAAGGCTCCCCGAGAGCATGGAGAGGGGGCTTCCGCAGTGGGAAGGGAGAGGAGCCAGGTGGGAGTCCAGCCCCATACCCCGTCGCGGTGCTGGAGGGGGTGCTGGCTTGCTAGGGCGCTAGGGCTAGGCCAGAGGCCCTTTTCTGGATTCTGGGGAAGGGGCGGGGACCCTGGCTGTGCTTCTCTGGGACAGCTGGAATTCCCTGAGCCTTGGAGCCCCATTCTTTGTTTGTTTATTTGTTTTCGCACAGATCCCCTCTCACTTAATTCTCCTTCGTTCCCCTATTCCCTCCCTCGTTCCCCCAGGGATAAGGACGGAGCAGGATTTCTACGTGCGCCTCATCGACTCCATGACAAAACAAGTAAGTTTCTTAATTTCGCGCCGTAGGGGTACTCTAGGGACGCAAAATTTCGGGGAGTCAAGAAGGTGGCGACTCCATAGCGAGAGGACTGGGACTCGAACTCTCAACGCCAGGGCCTACCGCCGACCGGCTCTCAGGGCAGGCTTCCAAGGGCTCATCCATACGTGCACTTGTGCGTGCCGCGTGGGGAAGATGGCTCGACGGCTCCTTCTAAGGGAAACTCAGACCTTGTGCATTAAGACTGCGGGGTGCTGAGTGGGGAGAATGTGCGCTCAACTTTCTTTGACCCTGCCGGGAAGCCTCAGGGGGCCCAGAAGGTGCCCAGGGACCCTGGTGTAGAGTGGGAGGAACTTGTGAAACTCGAGCCACCTGGGCCTCCCTTGGGAGGGCGAGGGTAGAGGGAGTGGGTGAGGGCAGAGGCAGTTTCTCCAGGAATGGAGAGATGGACTGAGAGCACAGATGATCCACTTCACAGATGTTTCAGAAGGAGGTGGTAGTTAGTGGTGGTGGTCGTGTTGGAAGAGGGAGCCACAATTGTTAAGAGGATATTTTGCAAAAATCTTCCTGCTTTTGCCTCCAAGTTTGGCAAGAAGCCAGGCAGCATGAGTGAGCTTGTGGTCTTAAAGGTACATAGACGCATTTTTCTTAAGCTCCCCAACACGCGTGAGTCAAACGGTATACATTAAGGTTGAGTTATGGCTTAAAAGATACAATTATGAGCCCAGTCAGAAAAGAGGCCTGACATTTTAATGAGGCACAGGAGTTTTGCTTTTTTTTGTTTTTTGTTTTTTTTTTAATTTTAAGAAAAAGTTTAGTTTCAGAATTAAGTAGCTGGTTAGGTAAGTTGGAGAACTTAGAAAAAAAGAAGACAGCTTTATTGGGTGGGGGGAAAGGAATCAGAACAAAGAAAAAAGTTATCCATTGTGTACCAACTACCAATTTAGTAAGATGGTTAAAACTTATTTGATTGTGATTTAAAAATATTCCTTTTAAAATAAGGGAGGCGATCTTTCATTGATAGTTGGAAGGCTTGGAAGGTTTGGAAGGCTTCAAATTAGGGAATACACACATAATTAAAATTTGTTTTTAGGTGAGTCATGGCTTAAATATGTTGCAGAAAATGTACATCATTAAGCCGTTGGAAGTTTTAAAATCTATCAGTAAGAATAAATTTAATAACAGCTAATTTTGATTATTACTCTTATATTTCATTGTGAACCAAGTAGAAAAATGAGGGTATGAAATGTATTTTTAAAATAATAAGTATCTGTTGAAATCTATTTCAAGTATTTGCCTAAAAATTTGACTTTCTTAAAGGTCTGTTTATTTCTAGTTGATTATTCAGAGTAAATCCCCATTTATACTTTTAGTTTTTTTTTCTTTAAGTGGTTTTGATTATTATATAGGATAATTCCTTTTCAATTGGACATGTATTTTGTTAAAATTTTTTTTTCCTGCCAAGCAGAAATACAAAGGCCAGATTTCAGTAACTTTTTTTTTTTTTAACGATATCAAAACAAAAATGTCTTAAGTAGAGTTTTGTTTTTAAAAATTGTCTTTGATAACCCTGGATATCCTTTCCTGCCAGTCTCATCACAGCAAAGAAAAGATGGGAGGGAGAGGGCGAAAGTATGCACTTTAATGCATATTCCATATGTATTTATTAGAATTTACTTTTTGAAAGATAAAACATCCCCACAAACCAGTATATAAGGCCTGTCTGCTTGTGCAACATTGACCACTTAAATACTAAATTACAGGTAGCACTATGAAAGAAACAATTGTAAAGATAACAAAATTAGGACACGTTTTAAGTGATTAACTCCTCTCAAAACTTTTATTTTAGACCCCTTACACAAAAAGTGCCAACAAAAATTGATTTTTCCCATTGTGAATTGAACTGACTTTACACACTTTTATATGGTGGGAGAATAATCTTTTATATTTTTATAAAGCATTTTTATGACTTTTATAAAGCAATACATCAAATATCATTTTACTAACAAAGTCATAGAGATTAAGAAAAACTACAGCTTAAGGCCCTCTTTGACCTCTTGGTATCATAAACTCTACCAGCTGTGTATATATGGGCTGGGTGGGGGGTAGGGGGACTAGAACAGGTACAGTTTATTTTTAATAATAGCAGGTATGAGAGTCATTTGCCATAATGTGACATCTCACTGGAAGTTACGATTATAAATGTATGCAATTCTATATTTTGGTGGGGAGTGACCTGAAAAAAGGTTTAAAAGAGTCTCCGAATTTAGCCTAAAAAATATCAAGAGATTTTTTTGAGTCCTACCTGTTTGCTTTCAGAATAATTGTCTAATGCCTTCTGTGCAGCTTTCACTTTGAAAGGCAGTCCCTGCCCATTCTCCGGTTGCGTGTTCGTTGATTGTGTGCTGTAAGAGTTTGGGAAGTAGGTTAGCCTCTTGTGTACACAGTTAATACAATAGTCTTTAAAAAGCACATCAGTTTGAAGAAGCATAACTTTCCTTAGCTGTGACATAATTATTACATTTTAGCCTTGATGAGTAAAACAGTGGATTCTCATTTAGCTTGAATTATTTTATGATAATTAACTACCACGTCTGATTAAAAACTTCTTAAATTTTTGATTTTAGTTAAATGTGCAGTGACCCCTTCAATCAGAAGTAAGGCTTGATGTAAGCTGACTAATTAAATGCTTACAGTCTCCCCCAACCCCCATGAAATTCTTCTAGATAGACTCAGAATTTTGATACTTAGAATGCAGACTGGAATAATTTTAGTGATGTGATGAGTTCTAATAACATCATAAATTTTGAAGGGAATATGAAGCTACAGTTCAAGTCTTCTCTTAGCTGCTTTTTTTATAGGAACGTTTTTCAGCTCAGAGATGCAGCTTTATGTGTGTGATGCCCCATCTTCGACTCACAAGATGGGGTTAAAACTCAAAGGGAATCTTTGGCAAGCTGTGTACAAAATCCAAGACTAGCTGTGTAGTCCATATTCTCATAGAATGTTTCTGATCTTGGGTGGAGTTAGAATCATTGAGATCAAACAAATGTACTCACCCAAGATGTATTGATATGACACAGTATTTCACACCTTTTCAAAGTGTCTCATTACACTATTTTGGGTAATGACTCTTAACTTTAGACGCTACCAAAAAGATGAAGCTACATGAGGAATGAATGTATAAGGATATGACCCCCCTAATCCCTCCACCTCTCTTATAAAACACAAAGGATATGATGATATTTTGAAAATTCATCCACCAACTAGAAAATAAGAGGCTTGCTTTTGGGAAGCGTTGTTCAAAACCAAGTTTAGCTGGACTAAAAATAGGTTGTTTTTGTGTCATTGCTGTTTTTGGTATTCCATTAGTGAGTGTGCAAAAAGGCCTGTAGGATCCAGAAGTTTATGGCTGTTGCATCCAGAAACCGTATCTATTGCAGAAGCTCAAATGAACACGGTGGGGGAGGTCGGAGGTTTAATGTGCCTCTTTTCAGATTTTCATGTAGCATTTGAAATATGATTACCTTCTGTGATTGCTTCACTGAGTTATTTATCTTTAAATAGCCCTTAGCCTTCCTTCCCTCCCAACATCTTGCTTTAAAAAAGTGACATTTTTATAATTTGAAGAAAGTTAGCAAATTCCATAAAGTTATCAAAAACAGAGTATTCCTTGCCCCCAAACAAATGCTCCCCCCCCACTTTGGAAGGGGGAGATAATGGCTACATAATCCCTGAATGTATATGGATTGGAAGGCAGGTGAAATGGTGAGGGACTCTAAAAGGTCCTAGCACAGTGGGAGGCTCAAGGCACAATAATCATAAATGCTGTCATATTTCTCTTCCCAACTAATCTTTGTATATTTGTTTTGATGTTCCCGGTACTTTAAGTTATTGATGCAAGTGCATTTTTCCCTATTGATTGTTTCATTATATCCTGCCACAGCTACGTAGATTTGATTAACAACCCTTTCAGTTCATGGCTCTTCATTGGTAGATAAACACATTTTTAGTATATCAATAAGTTCCAAAGGAATTCACTAGGCTAGCAGAGATGTTCTTTTATATATTTAGGGAAAGAAAGAAAAAAGGACAGGGCAAGATTATAGTCAGGAGCCATATTTCAGCAGCTTTCTCTCTCCTTTGGTAACGTCAAAAATGCAGGTGATTTAAATTTCCTTGCACATAGAGGAATGAAGAAGTTTGGAATTTTTATGCATGATCAGGACCTGTGTTTGGGAAAATGTAAACTCATCACAGTGGAAAATGTGTTGTTTGGAGTCTGGGGGTGAAAACAAAGCTGATGGTTTTGGAGAGATTGCCGGAGCCAGATGGCCTAGTACTTCCCCAGTCTGGCGGTCCAACTGCTCCCTCCTGGATAATATACAGCCATTTGTTCGGGGATATTTACGCTAGAGCTGTTTCCATGTGAATGTTTGAACAGCATTAAAAACGAACATATTAGTAGTGATGCATTTATCGAACTTGTATGACTACACCAATAGATTGTTCTTACGCCTTTACTTATATTGCTGAGAGGCAGGGAAGAGGAGGGTCTGGAGGTTGATGAATTGTTTAAATAGTTGTTGAACAAGGATAATTTGGTCTTAGTGAGTAATTAGAATATGTAAACACTTGGAATCAAACTAATGGAAATGATGGTAGCACCTACCTCGAAGCTCTGTTGTGAGAATTATATGAACTCATACATGTGAAGTGCTTAGAATAGTGATGGGCACACATTAAGTGCTTAATAAATTAGCTGCTTTTATTATTTTATTATTATTATTAATATTGTCTCATTGGGTTGACAGAGCCAGTGGAATCTCCTCATATAGATGTAAATGCAGTTAACATATGAGTGAAATATCTTTTATTACCCCTAGAAAAGGAAATATAATATGGGGTTGTTAGAATGATTCAGTTTTTATCTTGGCGTTTGAATAATATAAGGGATTTTATTTCTTTGAGACATAAAAGATGCATTCTAAAGCTAACTGCTT